TTCCTCAAGGGAGCCTTTTTCTATCCGTCAGTAAACTCATATTTTATGGATATTTCATATTATATAAAAAACTGTACAATGAACACAAACAGTGAACTCAGTAACTGCAGGAAGTTTAAAAACGAGTGATTTCTTCACAGAATTGAATCTACTGTGGATATTTCTTATAGTTTTCTTACACACTGTAAAAAATGTTGAGAACTTTCAAGGCAGCTGTCATTCAATTATTTAGTTTTAAGTCCGCCCCCCCCAGGTTGGGAACCACTGCCAGAAACCCCCCAAATTATGGGGACTATAGTTCCAAAACTGCACAGGGGGAAGCACAGTGTCGGACCCTGCCACTAAAACATACAAAACCACTGTTGTGGTCCTTTAAAGGAGCCCGGCAGCCATCGTATGCATGCATTATTGTCCTGTGCTCTACAGTTCTGCTTTTGGGAAACAACCTCTGAGTTACATATGTTTAGTTTGTCATCTGGTTTCGCTCCAAAGTCCTCTTGTTATGAGAGTCTGGAATCTAATTCAGAAGCAAACCTCTCAGGTCAGAGAGAGTACAGTGCGCTCTCTCTCTCTCTGATTAGTTCAGATGAATCTTTAACGAGCCCTGTGGGGAGATGAGAAAGCTCAGGCAGGATTTGATCAAGTGGTTTCAGAGGCGGTGAACCGACCACCTCCTCCGCTCCGACGCTCCTGCTGTCTCTCGCCATCATCCCTCTCTGACCTTCATTTGTCACCGCGCTTCCCAGACAATTACAGTGCGTTGTTTAAAGATCAATTAGTGTCTCATGTTTTCATCAGTGCTAATGTAAGCTGTTCTATTAACATCTGTCACAACTTTTACAACTCCAGAAATCGTTTTCCTGCTGGTCTGACCTCTGGGTTCACATTGTAGATATTATCATAAACATATATTAGATATTTTAGACTGGTCTGTAGTAATTCACCAGTCTTAACAGAGTAATATTATAATCCAGGGTTAGGGGTAGGGTGATCAATAACTAAAAGCGGTTGTTAATCACTTTAAAAACCGGCCCCTACCACTGTTTTTAATAACAGAAACTACGACCTATGCCAGCAATAGCTAGATAATTTACATCAATTGCAGGTTAGGTACCGCACTAGCATTTAGCTAATTTAAGATGTGACTGTATATATGTCTCTTTTATCTTTTAACCAACTTCAAAATGTGTTTGTCTTTTCAATATAGATTAGCCTAGCATAGCATAGCTAAATACAGGAAAGGAGGAAGTTGACTGAGGATTGCTCAACTGTGATTGGAGCACAAGGCAAAAGGGGGCGGGGCGTAGGAAGGGTTCATTCCTGACTATGACTAGTAGGATTAATTTGTGAGGAATTATGTAGATTGTGGCTCTGTTCAAACTAAAAATCATGAATGAATCTACCGTAAAACTCATCGTACACTGCAGACTACACCGTCCTGACACTTTGCACAAGCTAACGTTGCTGTAACATAAAACAAAAGGGTTGCGTCAGTATGTAAAGACGTGGTTAAGCAGCTGTATGAGGATGCACACACACATGTAAACACGGATTAAACCTCCTCCCACACCGAGCTATGTGCTCTGGTGACGTTTCCGTGAGAGTGAAATGTTCCTCGGTGCAGTCGCGATTTCTCCGCGCTGCATGTGATGCTCTCAATTATTCCAGTGCAGTCAGTGTGTGTGCAGGAGAAGGTGAAGAATATTAAAATCAAATTACAGCGAGGCTGAGTGAGTCCAAATGGCCTTATTACCGACTGTCAGGAAGCACTACATACTGAGAATGAACACACACACACACACTGCTGCAGCAAACACATGCAATTATCTCTGATGCAAAAGCTTCTATTCGCTCACACATACGAAGGCATGAGGGCTGTTTGCTGTCAGAGGAGCAGCTCGCTCTCTCTCGCTGTGACCCTGAGATGTCAGTCATGGTGTAACGGACTCAGAGATCCCTCGAGTGTTATTCAATTATCATCTCTGCATTAACAGGATAAACAAAACACACACACACACACACACCTGCCTCAACGCTCGCACACACTCACTGAATATATTTCAGTCTTCTTCCAGCTCGTCTCTACAACCATGAAACAAACATTTAGCAATATTTAGCATAATAAACAGAAAACTACATCTCAGTGTGCTGAAAGCTCTAGCTAGGATGTGCTACAGGTTAACTAGTTTACTAACTAACTAATCTACATCAGTCATTAGCTAGCTAGTTACATCTGATAGCTGGATGCAAAACTCCAGCTAACATCAGCTCTACGTCACAACTAGCTGCAAGAAAAAACCACCTCGCTACTGCTGGTCTCAGAGACTGTGAACGGGTCCAGCTGCGTTCACTGGAAAGTGGAACTCTGCTTCTTGTTTCTTTTAGACTTAAAGAAAAGAAGAAGTTTTTGGATTTCACACTAAAATCAGCATCACCTCTCTCCAGTTTCTGCATCACAACTCGTGTTTGTAGAGATAAAATGTCTCTGGGGGTTTTAGATCTCATTATGTTGTGCAAATACGACACAAAAAGTTTCTTTTTGTTCTAAATATGAACATCAGCAGCCGCTCGCGGCCTCCTCTGTGACTGATTCTGTCATTACGCTGCAAATTATATGAAAACCCGACACTGCTGAAGGTATTTGTTGAGACGTCTTTAACCTCAATGCACATGTGCTTCCCTCATTTATTGTGTGTGTACATCTGCCTGTGTTTGGTGATTAGCTGCTTTGTTTTGTCTTGATGTTCTCTTTAATTAACAGTCCCTAAGTGGGAGCGCTCATTTGCATATTTCCATATTTGCATAGCTTACGAGTTGCCGCTCTCGATCAGCATCAGAAGAGACTGCCTTCGGTCACACCTCCGGTTACTCTCTGCTCTCCGTGCGGTTAACGTGCTTTATTTCCTCTCAAAGACTCATCGCCGGCTCCCGTAAACCGAGCGGACGCGCCGGGACGAGCTCGGAGGAAATGAGATGAAACGGGGGGAGCACACAGTCACAGGGAGAGTAAGCGAGGGGGCCTGTTGCATCAGCGGCGTCCTCTGTGACCTCCAGAAAAGAGGCAGCTATTTCCATCACGCCACCACCTCACCTCACTGACCGTGTAATGGAGCGATGCAGTCGCTAGATTGGCTTCCTCGCCTTAAAACACCACCCCGCCACCGCAGCCACTGCCGGCTTTGGGAAAGCAGTTTAGCTTCAACGCCTGAGTGCACGGGCGTGTGTGTTTGCATACATACCACCGTCATTACAGCGAACGCTCGCTGTTTGATGGGGGTCATAAGGAACCTGATGCACATAAATCCTCACAGCCACAAGATGAGTCCTGATGGAAACCTCCAACGAGTCTATCAGGAGTGAAGTTGTGTGTTCTCTGTCTGACCTGGGGGGTCAGACAGAGAACTGAGGGTCAGTTCACACAAATCACCAAAGTGTGCAAGGAGAGGGAGGATCGGCGCGATGCTGCAGCTGATAAAACCCTGAACTATCTGCAGGGGTTAGAAACACATTGACCTCAGGATGCAGATAACAGGTTCATATGTTCATTTCTTCTGCTGTGGTCTCCACAATAAGTTCCTCTCCCCTGTTGGAGAGGTTGGAGTCATTTCTGGTCGGTTCATTAATCCATCCCATTATTTATTGTAGTTGCTATGTTGAATAATGAATAATGAAATTATCTCGAATTTCCCTCGGGATAAAGTATCTATCCATCCATCCATGAGCCCAAGACCTAACGTTACGCTACGAGCCAGAGAGCAGTATGCTAGCAACATTCAAAGTCAATAACACTGTGTACGGTCGACGAACGGTAAATATAATTTGACAGTATGTTTAACAACAACTAGCTATCAGCGATGTCATTGTCCCCGTATGTATGAATATCTTGTGATACATATTTGGTCGCAGAAAAACCAAACCAATGTTAAACTGA